AAAATCAAAATTGTACATTGGATGATGCGTCCTTTGAGTAGCGAGTCGAAATAATAATAGTGCCACGTTTGACAATAGGGAGCCTAGAATATTCCCCTTTGTCTAGCGAGGGAGAATGAAAATTGTTCGCTGGACAAGGTTACCAATTTTTTATTTCAGATATGTCACACAGCTGAAAAAACACAGGGTTCCCACACAACGATCGACATTAGCGTCTTAGATTTTGGCCATGGTMCTGTTTTACTGCAATCGGTTGACATCCATCCTCGGGAACCCAGGAGTGATCTTCTGTCGTTTGTTCCTCACTCCCAGAAAAACTACTATTATTGTATTTTTTTCTGGGAGTGAGGAATGAACGACAGACGATTAGGGTTCCCGACGATGGTTGACATCCTGCATTGGTCAATGATGAGGTATCAAAACTGAGATCTTTGCTAGGGTCTTGGACCTTTATATCTGATAAAGGCCAACCTAAWAACCATGAATTATGTATGAGTTTTTGAAATARAAATAAACTCCTTGATCAAAAACTGTAATTACAACTACTATTGAAGAGCACTATGACACATACGTCCCACTTCACTAAGGAACAGCAGACTCTAATAACTACCTAAATTAATTTAAAAAGGGATRCTATGCATACTGCTTGGAGATTACCCGACTCTTTTTGACATTGATATGAAAACTGACGTTCAAGTCTATCTGCTTGATGTGTCACTCGTGCCAACTATTTGCCGATTGAAAATGAGAATTGTACGTTGCATAGGAGTTCTAGAATAGTCCCCTTAGGCTGGCGAGTTAAAATGATAATTATACTGTGGACAAGAAATCTGGAAATAGTTTATTTTGGTTAACAAGCGAAAACGAAAGTTGTAGACGGTTGGACAAATTAATTAACTAAATTAATTTTTTATTTAAGGATATCTCCCACAGCTAAAGAAAAACACAGGGTTCCCACACAAACGACATAAGATTATTAGATTTTAGCAATTATGGTATACATATAGTCATGTTACATATTGTCTTGATGGCCGGGGAGTCAATCGTGAATTGTATTGCCAAAAGAATTGAATTGAGTTTACATTAATCTGATTGTGACTGTACTTCAAACTGGCCTTCTCGCTCTTGGAAAAGGCCAATTTTTGGGAATGAGCCGAACAGATTGAAATTCTGTTTTTTTGTCCGGCAAAGTATTTATCCGACGTAAAAAACCCTGCGTGTCACATATAAATAGCATACTTCTACACATGCACGTCAAATTTGTCGTTTATCATGGTGAGATGAAGGTAGGGTCCCAAATTGGTGTTCTTGGGTACATTGATAGTTCTAACAGCCAGTTTCATATTCAGATTAGCAGTTCGAAGACAATTGATATTTTGTTGATATTTTTGCGATATTTTTTTCTAATTTTCTCTAGCTACAAGGGTACTATCGTCTACGACCCCTTGCAAAGGTACAATTGTGTTTTTTTGAGGGTCTCAATGGCGGGGAGGGGGGGAGGGGTCCGCATCACGACTCACGGCTAAAAATTTGGCTTTTTCATGCCTCACGTCTAATTTTTTTCTCATTTTCACTTTTGTAATGGATTACCTAATTATTTAATTAAGCGTGTACAGTATGTATTTAACTATGCTGCTAGATTAGTCGTGCTTTCATGAAATGTGACCATATTATACACCTTTACTGATTGAATTGAATTGGTTTGCTGTTAAGCAACGCTGAATTATCTTTAAGATATTACTGATTCAGATTGCATCTAAGGCTCTTAATGGTTTAACTCCATCTTTCATGTCGTACTTAATAGGATCATCATCTAAGCTAATGTTAATCAGATACAGTTAACTCTCTTTGAACGACCACTCTCGTAAGCGACCATCTCCCGTAAGCGATCAAGTTTTGTTTCGCATATAAACTCTGTAAAAAAACTCTCTCTTAGGCGACCACTCTTGTAGGCGACCGCGACCACCTTTGGGATTGAAATTGTAGAATTTGTCATTGTTTTTCCTCTCCCGTAAGCGACCACCATCGACTGACGCAACTAAAGCCGTGTGTTAATTTAATTATAAAGCTTGCACAAATTACATTTCCGTTTTTTTTAAATAGAGCACAAACCTAATAGAGTACTATCAACTATTAAATACACTATAGTTAATAGTAAGCTTTGAAAACAATAGAATTAGGACATTAAAACCAACTTCAAGAATTTGCGAAATGGCATGGAAGCAGTATCATTGTTCAAAGATTTTAAATACGAACGTGTTTTGAACTATTTGGGCCTCCT